CCTCGGAGAATGAACTACATGCATTTCCTAAGCTGCAGCTACACTCCCAAAGTTCTAACATCTGGGCCCCATTTGACAAACACAGTTCTCAAGCTTTAGTGTGCATCTAGAGGGTGTCTAAAACACAGATTGCTAGGCAGTCCCAGAGTTTCAGATTCAGTAGGTCTGGAGTGAGATCAAAGAATTTGTATTTCTACTTATTGAAAATTATTCCCAGGTGATATTGATGTTGCTGGTCTGTGGATGATGCTTTGAGAATTACTGTACTACATAAATGTTGTCAAGCCTGCTCAATGGAAAGAATCACCTGGAAAGAACGTATTTATTATTTATTTATTTATTATTAAATTTTGGGGGGTGATATTAGCTAATAAAATTATGTTTCAAGTGTACAATTCAATAAATACATCATATGTATATTGCATTGTGTGTTCACCACCCAAAGTTAAATTTCCTTCTGTCGCCTTATATTTCATCCCCTTTATCTTTATTTACCTCCTCCCATCCCCCCATCCCTCTGATGACCACTAAATTGTTGTCTGTGTCCCTGAGTCTCTGTTTTTCTTGTTCATTGCTTTCAGTTTTATATCCTACATATGAACAAAATCATATGGTTCTCAACTTTTTCTGTCTGACTTATTTTGCTTAGTATGATAAAAATACAAAATCACAGGTCCCTTGCCAGACTTTCTGACTCAACTTCCAGGGAAGAGATGAGGATTCTCTATTTTGGGTGATTAGTATGATTAGATAAGTTTGGCAAATGCTACACCAAATATCCGTGAGTTTCATTTCAGCGTCTGTCCTTTCCCCACGTGGTACCAATGGATGGGTTTCGCGATATGGCTGTAGTTGTGTAATGAATTAAGAGTAGCGCAACCACTATCTTCTGTAACTCTAATATGCTGGCCTTATAGACCAACCATAGAACCCCACTCTTTTTCATGAATATGTTCCCTGGGAGACGGTCTTAATACCACTGGCCCTGGTACCATGTTTCAGTCCAGAGACCACCCTGAAACAAAATCAGATAATGTAGCTTTTTACTCTTTAGCTTCTCTTTATCCCATAGCCTACATCTTGCTTTAAACATTAATGGGAGCTCTAGCCTCAGGCTGTTTCTTCTTTAACTTGGCAAGCACTTGCATATAACTTTTGTTCTAAGAAGTTTTATTTCAAAATTACCTTCTCGTTTTTTGGCAGGAATATTCTTGCTGGCACCTGCAGAGG